CTGCCACACAAATCCCCCAAAAAGAGAGGGGGGGGGAAAAAAAGCCGTCGCGGGGCTCTCCGAGGCCGAGGTGAGGACAGAGGCAGCCTGCCTGGCTCACAGGGCTGCAGGGACCTTGTTGGTAGTTCCGGGGTTGCGACTTTATCGCAGGCCACCACAGAGCGAAGCCCGGGGGCCGCATCCCTTCGTTAGCCTGGCCCCTGCGTCGTGAAGAGGCTCAAAAACGGTTTTTAATCAAGGCTGAGATAGCGTGTATTTGTCATCTTTTTAGGATAAATCATTCATCGGTCTAATAACTGCTGATACGACCCTTCTGAGGGGAGGAAAAGGCAAATTGCTCACTGGCTGCCAGTTGAACACCGTATTTTGTTTGCATTTTTGTTTACTCGCCATATGTGGTCAAAGTATTAAATGTTAAGGTATGCACAAAATTATTTTACTGAGGTTAGAAGAAAGTATATGTGATTCTAAAAGAATGTCTTATTTGCATTTTCTTTATTAACGTTATGACTAGACAAGTGGTTACACGTAAGGAAAGGGGAGAGGAAACACCTTTTATGTGAAAATGTGCACAAAATCAGTTTTTGATAACAAAGCTTATCAAGGACACACTCTAGCCACTGAACAGAACATGCAGTTGGCCCATCACACAACACAACTCCCTCTCATGTTTACATGCAGTACAACAGCAGAAAGAAAAACTAGCAGTCCTGCTCCCACAGAAGATGCACTTCAAAAGATCAGCCTCTATTTCCCCTTTGTCACATAGGGAAACGTCCATGCATACGCCTACAAGAATCAGTTAAACAAAACCCAACAAATGATCGTTTGGAGTGCTATCAATGAGAACCATACACTTACCAAAAATGCGTAGTAGCTGAACAAATTTAAGCATAGTTAAAACAAACCTGTCCCACAACTGCACGATACATTTATTTATTGAACTCCAGTTAACAGCAGCCCAGTGTAAAAAGAACGGGGGGAGGAAAACACAACATTTTCCTTATTTTATGACCTCTTCCAAGGATGAAGGACTTTATTTTAAATGAAGTGATGAAATTAAAAGCTACATACAAGCCTGTACATATACCCAAGTTAACGTCTGTAAATACAGGAATTGCAAGGGCATGATATTAGCATGCTTTTGAAAGTCAGGCTCTTAATTTTGATGCAATTAAGAACCAGAAATTAATGATATTTTGTGAAATACAAGCAAACTCGGTGCTAATCACAAGGTCAAAAAGGCTGTAAACACTGACTGATAATCACAAACAAAAGAAAACACTATGAAATGCAGTTGTTCCAAAAGGTGAGGCAGTTGCACCATAAGCAAGCTGATTCCCAAACATTAGCATGACAGTTACCGCAGCTGAAATCACCAAAACAAAGCAGATGATAAACTTTTAATACAAAGTAAGAGCAGAGACTGTGAAAGGTTGGGGTTTATGCCTAAAGTAATAGGTTCAATAGCCAATTTTAATTCACAGTTACACTACCTACTAACCTGGGCGTGTCATTTTTGTCACTATTCATAGGGACACACTGGTATGCAGACTTTGCATGCGTGCCTTTCTGATGAATCAGTACAATGAAGGAGTCCTTCAGAAGTCAACTGTATATGTAAAGTCAAGCACTTTTTTTGGTGAATTTTTGGAGGAATACAGCACTAGTGGCTCGCTCAGCTTCAGATTGGTGACAGAACATACTACTAGTCTATCTAGACTACGTTCCTTTTGAGGAAGGCATACACGACCAACCATAATAAAGCCTAGTGTGAACTGGGACCTGCAAATATCACTGCAATCCAAATAATATGCATTTATCAATAAAGCACTGAATGATATCAAATGAAGAGCTTAAAAATCCATCCTGAAGCAAGACTCTTCATTTTACGCTTCCGATAGATAAGACAGTAGTAACACTGGCAGAGCTGACCATTCCTATTACAATAATAGGAAACAGCATAGTGTGTGTTCTACATACCCAAACCCTCAAGAAGCTGATGCATAAAACACCAAACAATGACTGATGCACTCATAGATACATGCGTGGAAAATAAGTTAAGCCCGTTAACTGACATTACAAACTGTTGTCTTACATTTTAAAAACAGGCAAGTTATGCAGCACAAGTGGCAGACTTCTGCAGCAGACGCGCTCAGAGCTAGAACTTCACAACAGCTCCTCTGAAACTTGAGGGAAGGTATTAATCTCGTCTGTATCACGAAAGGGTATAAGAACTACTGCTTCTGCTGATTTGACAGAATGTAAAGTAAGTAGCATTATTCATAGTAACAACTGCATTGCCTGTTCATTCATATCACAGTAAGCGGAAGTAACATATACCAGTCAAAAACAGGTACGAGATAAAGATTCTGAGTTACAGGGCTTTCGATGCTTGTGATGAAACTGAAATGACCCTTGACAAAGTACAAACACACCTACCCAAACACACACAGTACTGTTTTACTGTATCACAGAATTAGAGTATGAGAAAACCGCTACGTCTTAACTCTTCCTTTTAAGATACAAAGGATGATTTTCAAAATGAATATAGTAACCGCTATTACATAACAGCGCACAGCTCAAGTTTTCACATTAGTGTATATATCCAGAATTTGTAAAAAAGAAGACAAATATAACAGTACACCTCAGCAAATGGGACTAACTTAGAATTAGTCAAATAAGGCTGCTAAACACCACCATGACAGAAGAAATGTGATCAGAAGAAAGTTTAGAAAAATTCACAAGTCATTCATAAAACTGAATGCAAGTCCTTCTAATGAGGCTATCCAGTTAAAAATGAATTTCAAGGCAATAACGTTTGCTTTTGTCTTTTACCAGTTCTCTATTTGTAAAAGGCAACTTCAAAGCTTCCTTGACTATAGTTTGTTTGCTCGTTGGTTAAATATCACAGACTTGAGTGAGACAACATGCTTTCTTTTTGTGGAAAGAACCAGCAACATTTGGTCAAGTACAGAGCTGATTTCACCATGAAATGATACATGAAATGGGTACAGGTGATTGAATAAACATCCCCTTTCCTTAGCCATTATGGATCAGGAACATCATGGCTCAGGCTTCAGCTTATTGCAGTATCAACAATACTTTGAAAACTGGCAGCACCTGCCCTCAAAACAGCGGAGTGCAAAACGCAATTAGGGGAAAAAAAAACCAACGTGGAACAGATATCCACATCAGGGATAGTAGAAGAGAAGCATAAAATCATTTCCCATATTTTGTGGTTTACTTTCAAATACTAAACACCTTCTGAACACTTACACCAATAGCAGCCTAAATACAACAGGCGAGTTCACTACGAGCAAGGCCTGTCTTTGATCATCCATCACATATTTATGCTTCTGTCTGTTAAGGGGGGGATCCATTGAACATCTAGAATATCACTAGACAGGAGCATCTGGTGGAGCCTGGCTCCACATCTGCCCATCTATTAATCATAGTCTATTTTAACTTTTGTAATACTGGTCAGGTTTGGTTTTTCACTGCTACTCCTTCCATGAACAGAAGTCAGGTGCTTTTTAAGAGCAGACTTGTGTTTAAAGTCCATGTCACAACAATGACACTTGTAAGGCCGATCACCGCTGTGTATATTCAAGTGGTCCTGCAGCGTACTTTTGGCAGTGAACGTCTTCAAGCACACCATGCACTGGAAGGGGCGGATACCCATGTGCCCCCGGATGTGTCTGTTGAGATTCTTTTTTTGCGTAAATGTTTTGCCACACTGCAAACACAAGAAGAGTTTGTGCATTTTCAGATGTCTCAGGTAGTTCTCAAGATGCAGAAACCCCCTCGGACACTTTGGACATTGGTGCCGCCATGAATTACTAGCATCATCCAGACTCTGAAACCCATTCATCACGCTAGAAGTTCCTTCTGGATTATCACTGACAAAAGCCTGAAAGCGATTTCCTGACATTTCTGTATTTCTGCTTTCAACTGTAGAATTTATCAGAGAGTGCTGGGTTTCTGGAAAATATAAGCTTGTTTTAGAGGAAGTGCAAGGCTGAGGAAAATGATCGTTTTCTATGTTAGCTGCGCCCATAGAATCCATTCTGAAGATACAAATTTCATCATCCTTATAACCTATTTCAACCGTGGGTATTTCTGGGGTTTTGGCGTCCTTCCTTTCTGACGTTAAGCTCTGCGCTGCAGGCCGCGAGCTATCCCCCTTCTCCTGTTTGATGGCATACTCTAAATTAACCGGGCTATCTTCAGAAATCTCAATTATCTCACAGTCTTGATCTAAAGCATCATCCCTACTTCTCAGCTCGGCGTCTGAGGAATGACACCTTTCCGCGTCCTGATCGCCGCCCTCCACGGACGCGTCGATTTCCAGGTATTTGGAGAGCGCTTCGGTGCACTTCTCCACGATGTGCACCATCTGGAGATAGCTGGCGGCGGTGAGGTACTTGAGCAGCTCCTTCTTCTTGACCTCCAGCGCGCCGGTGTAGCAGGAGAGCAGCAGCTTCCTGCCCACCTCGGCGCTCTGCAGGATGCTGATGCGCACCTGCCGCGACTGGTTGAGCAGGAACTGGTC